CCGCGGGTGAGCTCGGCCTGCCCAACAAGCCACCCCTGCACCATGCGGTTCATGGCCCTCATGATCTCTGTTGCCGTGTGGGACTCAGCCAGCACCTCGGCTTGGAGTAGAGTCTACCAATGGCCTGACTGATCGAACCAGTGTCCCATGAGGGAGAGGTAGGCGTAATCACCACGCCAGGTGCTCCAGATGTCAGAAGTGAAGTGCAAGACTACCTGCTGCCCTGCCTTGCGCAGCTCCTCAAGTACTCCATGCATGCCTCATACAGGGAGGGCACCACCACCCTGCTAAAGTGGTGCATGTGAGCACTTTGTAAAATGGGGCCAGAAGTGCTACGAACCACCTGAACCCTGGTCGCTCAACTAGGGAGAAGGGCTGGCTATCCAGAGCAAGCATCTTCCCAATGCTCTGGGTGATCTTGCTCGCCTTGGGAACACACCCCACTTTCTGTCCACCTTTCCCCCACTGGTCCAGGGTGGCCTGCCTCTGCTTTGAAGTGAGTGGGGGACTTCCCTTTCAGCACACTTGCACTGGTGCCAGGCTGAGTAGGAAGAAGGGCAAGGGGGTGGTGCCTCCTCAGATGCAGCAGCATGGCTGTGGTGGTGAAGTGGCTCATGTGCCTTCGGCAGTGCTGACAGATGGCAAACCTGGGATCATCTGCCACCTCAAAATGATCCCACACTACACTACTCCCCCGCTTCTGGGTTGAGGGTGAGGATCCTGCCTTTTCCCCTCTTCTCAGCAGGCTGAGGCTGAACAGCAGGAGGAACTGCCTCAGCTGAGCCACTTGCCTCCACAACCTCAGTCTCCTCTGAAGTGCTGCTTTCTGGAGGAGACCTGGGTCTAGGGGAAACTTGGGGGTGTGGAGCACAAACTCCAATTCCCCCTCAATCCCCAGAATTGCTTGAGCCAGCGCGCTCAGTATCCCTGGTTCCAGCTCCAGCTTCTCTGGCAGTGGGAGGCTCATGCTGCGAGCTGAAATTGGGGTGGAGGAGGCAGTGATTCTACTGCTGGTGCTCACGTCTGGACTGAGCAAAGGTGGTTCAGGTACAAGGACATCAGGTGCAGACACTGCACCCACCTCCTGGCTTCCACTGGCAGCACTACTGTCATGGCTGCTTGGGAAGAGAACATGTCTGTGTTGTTGTGGGGGGGCTTGCAGCTCTAGCTCTCCCCCCTCTCCCTCCCCTGGCAGAAGACCTGGCACCTACCTTTCCAGCAGGCTTCATACTGATCTTTCCTGTGCTGCAAAAGGTAGGGGTAGGGTGGGTGTGGGTCCTTTTGTATTGTGCGTTTTATTCCCTCTGTTGCGTGCGTCCACTGGCCTCTTCTTTGAATGTTTGCTTTGGTGTTAAGGGTTATGTATAAACTGTGTGCTGTCTGTCTTCCTCTGCTGTGATTTTTTTTTCTATAGCATGTGCACGTGCAAGCAATCTGTTCCTCCCTGCACAGCGACAGATCACACTGGCTGGGAAAGCACACTTTTTTTTTTTTGCAAAGTTTCCAAAACCCGCAAAGAAATAAATGGAAATGTAATACTAATAATAATTGAATAGTATAGCCAAGTTAAATCCTACCCATTCTTTCAAAACAAGAAAGAGGAGCAGGCAAGTCTCAGTCTAACTGTTCCTCTCTCACACAGTTGCTGACAGGGAACAAGCTGCAAAAGGCACAGAAGGGCTGCAAACAGAAGCTTTTATGCTGTTTCTTGTCCCACCCCACAGAGCCCCCTCCCCCCACTCTCCATCCCTCCCCCACTCCCCCTCCCTCTTCTAATTGTCAGTCAAGATGTCCGAAGCAGATCCAAAATGCTTTGGACGCTCTGACCTGCTTCAGATATCATTGCCGAGACCCCGCTTCGATCTGGGTGTGCCTCGTCAGAGGCCAAAGTATTCAAAGCAGCTCCGGATCCAAAGCCTCACACAGCTCTAAGAATAAATAACTATCTCATTTGTAATCAGGTGGGCAGTTCCTCGTGGGAACAATGGACAATGCTGTAGCACAGAATACAGATGAAGTCGTTTGAATTAATGTTGTAGTTTGCCCAGCTGGCTAGTGCTTGTAACCTCTTGTGAAATCATGTAATCAACTGCAGATCTTGCATCTTTTCTCATAGGCTGGACATTGGGCAAGCTGCTGTTAGTTCTCAAAGCAGATGAGGCTTCTTGTGCTATTTTTGATTGTGGATATTGGTCCTGCTTCTACCGTTATGCCTGCCATAAGCAACATTCCTCCATCTTTGACCCACAAAACATCCAGCATCTCCTTCCTCAAATTTAGCCCAGCTCCTCTGATTAAAATCACAGCTTTGCTCATGTACCATAAACCAACAGGAATACAAGAGTTAACCTAATGAATGTCTGGCAATAGCTATGTCCTCAAGGACTTTAAACTCTGGTAACCCTGGGTTAGCAATGAACAGAGGCTGAGCTAATGTGCTGCTTAGTAATGGGTAAACAGTTTCCTTTTGTGAGTATGGAGAGTTACTGATGGAAATTGGGAACTCCCCAACCAGCCACAGTGCTGGTGTCACCACCTGCCATGCCTTGTTGTAATTAATTATGTTGTTAATCAAGGCAGGAGGCCACCCATTTCTTGCCCCAATGCCAGGGGGCACCATCTGTAGCTCCGTTCCTCCCCTACACTGCAGCCCAAGCCTTGCAAGTGGCATCCAGATGACAGTGCTTCCAGCCTACAGCCGGACCAAGCTTAGGCCTCGTTGTCAGGCCTCGGATGCACACAATCATACCGCCTTCCTCTCACACTCCACCCCCTCTCACAGGGGGTCTTTCACACTTCAACAACTTATGCTGCCTTGCTCCCTCTTGGAGCAGGCCCCTTAGGCCATAGGGTTTAGCTAGCTCATACCTTGGGTGGCAGATGTACCGTCTTTTGGGCTTCTCCTGCAACCCTCACTGAGGTAGTGGCCAGCCAATTACCCAACTGGGTCTAAGCTTGCCCTGGCTCTTTCTGGGGCAACTCTATACATTCATACATACCGGGGCTCCTTGTTGCCACCCCCTCACTGGGGCTCCAGGGCTTACCTCCCCTGTGGGGCTCAGGTAGCCATAGCCATGCCTGGCCCCCTCTGGGGCTTGCACCCTCCCTGGGCTCAGGTGGCTCCAGCTGTGCCTGGCTCCCTCTCTCACTCTTTAGGGTCTTGCACCCCACCGGGCTCAGGCAGCCACAGCCATGTCTAGGGCCCAACTACCTCCAATGATAAATGACCCACCCGAGGGTGAGGGCTGGAGTTAAGGCACCCCTACCCACCTTTCACTGGGGTGGTAACTGGCCTAGCATTTCCTGGGGGCTCCCACACCATTGGGAGCCCCACCAGGACACCCACTCCTGGCATGGTGCAGTTTTAGGTCATACCCAGAACCAGGAACCTCCAAACCATCCCCTCCAGCTCCTGCCCTTACCTCCAGGATGTTGCATGCAGCCAGGCAATGTTAGCCTAGCTTGTCAGTAGGCAACTGCTCTATTTATATAGGCGGCCAGAGATCTAAAATGGCCACCGCAATCAAGCACCTGCTGGCTGCTTGGCTCTGCTGTTAAAGTGGCAGGCGCCCACAGTGCCCTGCCACACACCTTCCCTCTTAAAAGAGTTCCTGGGGGAGGTTTCATCTGCTGCTTCTCCAAAGCAGGCTCCCTTCAGAGCCTGTGAGAGCCCTCAAGTGGCGAGCACCACCAAAAGGAGCTCTGCCACAGAGCCCCTGAAGCAAAGACTACTTTTGAGAGTAGGACTCTGGTAGTATCTTGGGTTAGACTGACTTGAAGGGAGGGTCTTACATGAAATGTTTTGTGGCACAGTTTACTAGTGCTAGATTAGAAATCTAGGAAAGGAATTTCCAGGGATTGCACCAAGGGACAGTAAAACCCTAGCATTGGTCTGTCAGCATATTGGGTGTTTTACAGCATGACCAAGAGTTTCAGAAGTTACCAGTAATTTAAGTTCTCTGCTAGTGTTGACACCTGCAAGAGGCTAGATTCTAAGGTGGCAGGTGCACAGCATGCTCAAAATCCTATTCCTGTGTGGTGTCTCCCTCTTTCCCCTCCCAGCAATCAGTCAGCGACTGGGGGGATCCCCCCATGGCCAATCTCGCTGACCGGGAAGTGGCTGCAGCGCTCGCAGGGGGGCACTGGTGCTCCCGCCTGCCCCCCCTGCCTGGCACCTAAGAGTGGAGTGTGGCCTGTCAGGGGGTGCACCAGTGCTCTCAGGGAGTGCATGTGCACCCCCAGGTACCCCCTATGCATCACCACTGTATTTCTTTAATTGCATCTCTCAGTCCCGGTTTGAGAGAGCTTTCTATCCATTTCTTTGTTCCAGAGTGTTGCATTTCTCACAGCCAGGGAACATGTCTTTTATAGTTAAACTTGTTTGTTTCTTCTTCAGTAATACCTATTTGCTCTAAATAAATCCTTTTCCTCATGGTATTTAATCTCTTAGTATCATATTCCTTACCTTAGCCTATTCACTTTTATATTCATTCAAGCTTCAGAAGGAGATTGGACATCTTACACAGAGACTTGCATTAAGAATGTGCTAGACAAGATGTATAGAGATTTTTACCTCTCGTCCTATAACATGATTCCTGTATTTTTTATTGGAAGCCATAGTGTATTATGAACATGGTGACTCATCTGTAGTTAAATTTGCCAAAGACAGTTTTTCTAATAAGCTGAGTGTGTCTCTGCATGCGCTGAAGCATAGCTGCTTTTGTTCTTAGTGTATAAAAGGTAGGGGGGAAATAACCCCAAATTTACCAAAAATTACATCATATCCTCTGGTCATTCTCGATCAAAGAGCCAGTCAATGGCTGCATTGTTTAGGCTGAACTTCTGCCAAGGGGCTCCATAGGGAGTTCAAACAGCAAAGCAGCTTCTGAAAGAGGTTTACTTACTGGATGGGTTCCTTAATGGAGAAGTGGTAGGGATCAGTCCAAAGGCAAAGCTACAGTTTATATTGCAAAGGTTTCTCTCTTGGTATCTCCCCAAAGGACCCTCACAGGACTCCTGCCTCTTCTTTCCAAGGCAGCTGACCATGGCAAAGAAGAGAGTTGCAATCATAGGAGGTGGGTCGAGTGGACTGTGCGCCATCAAATCCTGTTTGGATGAGGGGATGGAGCCTGTCTGCTTCGAGAGGACTAATGACATTGGAGGGCTCTGGAGGTATGAGGTAAGGTTGAGTTTGTCATGACTTTGAATGCTTTAAATATTATTCCTTTTGAGGTGGAACTCAGAAGCCTCCCTCATAACCCAGAGTTGCAGGGTACTAGGTACAGTACAAACACAGAAGAATAGGGCTGTCTGCCCCTCAGAGCTTGCAATCTAAGTGTTGAATGATATTTTTATCTCTACAGCACTATATGTGTGTCCAGGCATAAAACAAAGTTGCTGCCCAGAGGAGATCATAGGAAATAAGAGTGTCATGGGAGTGAAGAAGTGCTGAAAGTGAAAGGTGTTAGAACCTAAATGTTTTCTTCTGAAGAACAAGGAAGCTGTCCTGGAGTCAGCTTTATCACTAGAGATCACGCCACCTCAACGCTTTATGCTACTTGTATTTCTAGAGCCCCACTTTCTAGAGTTAATATGTCCTGTTTTCCCCATTCCCTACAGGAAAATCCTGAAGAGGGCAGGGCGAGTATCTACAAATCAGTCATCATCAACACATCTAAGGAGATGATGTGCTTCAGTGACTTCCCCATCCCAGATGATTTCCCCAACTATATGCACAACTCAAAAATCATGGAGTATTTCCGCATGTACGCCAAGCACTTTGACCTTCTGAACTATGTCCGTTTCAAGGTGAGGGGAGAGCTAGCATGACAGGGGGTGTGGGAGCCTGTGGGTCAGAATGGGAATGCTGTGCCTGCCTTTATGTGTGACCAAGCACATAGGTGAGTGATTAGGTGAGCCTGGTCTCTATGGAAGAATACTGCTATTGAAAAATGTCACTCCCTCGTGAAGCAGTGAAAGATCCTGCAGGTCGTGTTTTAGGGTTTATGTCCAAAGGAACTGATGAAATGCATGTTGCCACCCCCTTGACTGACTTTTTGTTCAGACCAGTGTGTGCCATGTGACAAGACGTCCAGATTTCTCTACAACAGGACAGTGGGATGTTGTCACGGAGACAGATGGGAAGCAGGAGTCATCCATCTTTGACGGGATCTTGGTTTGCTCTGGTCACCACACTTATGCCCATTTGCCACTACACACCTTCCCAGGTATGCCATACAAAGTGGGGAAGGCATGAGTGCATCTTCCTGGGTGTTAGAGGCCGGGATTGTTCCTGGGACATCCCAGGAATATCCCAGAACCCTTCTAGTTATTGTCCTCACTCAGCTGCTGTAATGGGTACTGCCTGCCACCTGGTGCTTTACATATGCCATTGGTGTTCCTGCACTAAGGGAGGAAGAGCTGCCTGTTTAATCCACTGAAAAGTAATAGTACAATACAATGGAAGCCCAGCCACAACTCTGAGCTTGCTTCAGATGCCAGGGGAGGCAAAGGCAATACCATGCTGGCAGGTTCAAGAGAAGTGGATGCCACAATTGCTGAGCAGTCTGGCTATGTAGCTGCTCTTGGCTGATGAAGATACCACCCTCCTCCACTTCAGAGGGCCCTTGGGTACCACATACTTTCCTGCCTTCCAGCAGTGGCTGGGCCTTGTGGAGCCTTGCAAGCCTCTTGACCAGTATCTTTGAAATTTGTAAGAACCTTTCTGGTTCACCAGGCCCAGATCTCTTCCTCACTGTGATCCCACTTTGCCCTGGCAGCAAGCCAGTCTGTGCTGTGCACTAAGGAAAGAACATCTTGAAAACTTAGCTGAGACTCCTGTCTGTCTGTCTGTCTCTCTCTCATATACCATTCCAACTCCTTTGTGCTCTAAGTTCTTGTCCTAGCTAAGGCAACATTCCACTTTTCCCCCCACCTTCCCCAACTCTCACACATTCCTTCTTTGGCCACATGCAGATATGTGCAGCTTGTGGTGCTGTAAACCTCTTTGCAGTGCCACAGACCACACACAGGGAATGTTAAATGTGCCCTGCACTGCAAATTTGCAGCACGGGGCCAAAATTTGCTACCAGGAAATCCTAGTAGTCAAAAAAAGGTTCCGGGAAAGGAAGCAGTGCAGCACACATAACAGGACCATGCACCAGAAGACAGAGGTTTAGGCCTCCAGAGAGGTGCTCTGGCTGCTGGCTAGTGTCTCCACTCCTGCAGTTGTGCCCTGATTCTCCTTCATGCCAGGAGGAGCCAGGCAACAGCAGTTTGCCTAAAGTGGGACAACTTGTCCATCACGAAAGTATACCTGCAAGGGTGTGTGCTGCAGCAAAAAGTAGTGGCACAGCCTTGTGCTGCTACTATTTTTTGCCACTACAAGTGCGCACCCCTGCACGTCTGGATATTGCCTTTGATGGAATCTTCTGAACAGAGTAGATACCCATGAACCTTTGTGCAGCACTCCTGAACCCACAGGAGGAAAATGACCAAGTGAACTGAGCTTTCTTTGTCCAACATCCCTCTCTAGAAACTAAAGCTGCTCTGCTCTCTCCCTGCAGGGATTGAAAAGTTCAGAGGTTGCTACTTGCACAGCCGCGAATACAAGAACCCCCAAGAGTTCTCAGATAAGAGAGTCATTGTGATTGGCATTGGGAATTCAGGAGGTGACCTGGCCGTGGAGATCAGCCACACAGCCAAACAGGTTGGGTTCTAGAGTGATGGCACTTTCATTCACAAGCAGCATGCACTACATACCTCCCAGTTTTGGGGCTTGGAGTAAAGAGAAAAGAATCAACCAGTATGAAAGCACCAGGAACATCCTGACCAAGGGCCTTATCCAACTATCCAATGTGAAGGCAAGGATTCCTATGGACTCAAAAGTTTCAGGGGTGTAGGTTGTAGCTGTGTTGGTCTAAGGACATAGGCAGGCAAGGTTCTTTGGGTAAAGCCGGTATCTTTTATTAGACCAACTCAAATAGTTGTAAAAGTTCTTCTTAGCAAGCTTTCAGGCACAAACGCCCTTCGTCAGGCTAAGGAAGCATCTGCAGATGGTCCGTGCTCTTCCTGGATGGAGTGGTAAAGCAGCCAGAAGCCAGTACATATGCAAGAAAGCCAGTCAGTTAAAATGTAAATTGAGGTGGTCAGTAGGTGAGAGACAGGTGGGGGGAAAGAGGAAATGAATGTAGCTGTAGTTAAAGGATGAGAGACAGAATGGGGGAGGGGGAGAGGGAATGAAAATAACTGGTAAAAAGTGGATGGTTTACCTCAGGAGCCAGATGTTAGGCAGGTTATAATGCAGGCTTGTCCAACACATGGCCCATGGGCCACCATGTGGCCCTCCAAGCTGTTTTCTGGAGGCCCGAGGTGCTGCGACGGGAAACAAAAGTAAACACTGTACTTTCCTTTCGGGTGGGGGGTGGTGATGCAATACTGCTTCCTGTGAGGTCTTTGAATATGGCTCGTCGGCCCACTGGGTGATAAAAAGTTCATGATCTGGCCCCACGTTCAAAAAGGTTGATGACCCTGTTATAATGTGTCATAAATGCAATGTCTATATTTAGTCCATGACTTTTTGTATCCAGTAGATTGATGAAGTGAAGTTCATAGGTTGGTCTGTGAAAGGTATTTTGTCAACTCCAAAGAGCTTTCAACATGGCCTTGAAAGCAGAGGAAACCTTCAAGCTTAGTGACACTCATGGTTTATCAGAATAGGTACAGAAAGGTAATGGGATGATCTTCATTTCTTATAGCAAGGGTGCAAAAGGGATAAGGAATTGCTTTATGTTGTTAGTCCTGTAATGTTGACCACCACCATCTTGGCCAACATGAGGGATAGATGTAGTGATGTAGCTAGGAGCAGAAAATTTTGGTGACCCCAATTTATGATGGAAGGGTAATGAACAAAGGTCTGATGTCACTGTCACAGGACAGGGTCCTGTAGGATGGCCGTGATCTTCCCAAGGCCCCCTTACCGTACCAAATTGGCCCAGTGGGCACCCTCGATTCTCACCCACCACATCTTTGATTGAATGATTGATAGGGAGGCTGCTTCTAAGTCCTCTTGGACATGGTTGAGATTGGTTCTCAGGACCCCGTGGGTCCCCGGACCCCTGGTGGGAACCGCTTGAAGATGAATGTCACAATGGATGTTTTGGGGCACCCTAGCCTTATGGGCTATGTGTGGCTCCAGCCATCCTTTTACCATGCCCCAAGCCTCGCAGATGGAAATGACATTGTTTGGTCTGGGCCTTGTTATAATTTGGCTCCCTGGTCCTCCCTGGGCTCACCGTAGCCCTGTCTCGCACTGCGCCTTCACTGGCGCTCGGGCTTGGTGCACCCCCAATGCTGCGCCCTCTCTGGAGTCGGGGTCGGTACACCCTCAATGCTGTGCCCTCTCTGGTGCCGGGGTCTGCGCACCCCGAATGCTGCGCCCTCTCTGGCGCCAGGGTCCCCACACTGCCGTGGGTCCCCTATGAGGCCCTCCTCCTTCCCCTAATAGCCTCACCCAAACCACCGGTCTTATACAGCAGTAAACAAAACACAAGCCCCTACGCTGCATATTCAAACCATCCAGCTACAACATCATTCAAACCATACCGGGGAATACTCTGTCTCTCAACAGTGTCAGAAGCTGCTTCTGCAGTCAGGCCTCTCCCCTTTGGTTGCTCTGGGAGAGCTCCTTCCCCCTTGGCTGCTGGCAGGGAACTTCCTTCCTGGCCCCAGCTCTGGGGTTTATATATGAGCCAGGCCCTGCCCCTTTCAGTCAACTGACCGCTGGCAGGTGTGGGCCACTAGCTCATTCTAGCTGCCCTGGTAACCAGCAGCTGGGGGCTCCCCACTCGCTGCTAGGGCTCTTTCCATAGCAGTTTCCACTCTTTAAAGGAGCAGGGCACCTAAGTGCTCTGCGACAGTCACCATAACTCATTTTAATTGCAAATAATTACAATCCTCCAAACTTAGCATCCAGGTAGGTTTGGGATTGGGTGGGACTGACTGTTTTCATGTGGGATGTGGCTCAACCTGGCTCACTTATGTCTTCAGCCCTGGAATCTGTGACTTTCAGAGCTATAATCATGAGTCACTACATCATGAACAAAAGAGCCAACCTTAACAGTGGGGTCTATAACAGATTCATATCAGCTCTGGATCATGTCCATAATGCACTGGCCAGCATTGCTGTGCCAAAGACAAATGAGTGGCATGTCATAATCTTGTATCAGCAGTCCTATCCTTTAGTCTCCAATGCCTTGCAGTGCCTTGTGGGAAGAACCCAGAACTTCATAGCCAGGCATGAACCTGCACGTGGCTGGAAAAACATTTTGCCAAGAAAGGAATCACAACAGTGTTTAAAAAGATGCAAGGAATTTCTGTGTCTGGGGGACAGCATTGACTTCAATATTGGTGCAAAAGAGGAAGAAATTGCTGAGGAAATAAATACAAAGGCAAGCACTAGAACTGGGGGCTGAATTAATAAAAAAGTGGACAACTATAACAAAGAAAACAAGATCATCAGTGCCGAGAGTTATCTCACATCAGGCCCAGCAGCCTTACCTCGAGCATTTCAGTACCAGGGAGTTCCCCAGTGCAGTCCAGATCATCAGGATTTCTAGGGGTAATGCGATGCATGGGAGAGCCAGCAAGTCTCATAAGTTCCCTCTTCTTTCTGTAATATTTTCTGTGAGATGTTCCAAGGACTGGCAGGGACCTTCTAGATCACCAGGTCCAACCCCTTGGTCTCGCAGACAGCCATGTCACAAAATCCCTATCATAAACTTACCAAGATTCATCTTAAAGCAATCACCGTTTTTGTCCCCACTGCTCCTATTGTGAGGCTGTTCCAGAACATGTATGGTTAGCACCCATTTGCTAAAATCAGGTTAGGCTTATTTATGGACAACTTATACCCATGTGCTTTGGGTTTTTTGCCAACATTGTCATTTTGTTTAAATAGTTCTTCTACCCAGTTTATTCCTCTCAGGTGTTTCAGATCGCCAGAGCCCCTCTGCTAAAAACAGCAACCTAAACCTGATTTTACAAGTCAGAAATACATCAGTGAGCCAAGGAAACACTGCAATGCTTGTCATAGATTCATAGATTCATAGATGTTAGGGTCAGAAGGGACCTCAACAGATCATCGAGTCCGACCCCCTGCATAGGCAGGAAAGAGT